GAAGCCTGGGAAAGGTTTATGCAAATTTTGTGCAAATCATTTGAAAACTAGCTTTTCTGGGTTAAGTACTACACTGAGGCTTTGCTTCAGGGTGGGAACAAAGTCCCAGAGTAGAGTTCTTTGTATTGACAAGAGAATCTTCAGCCTGACCCTCCCTTCCCATGTCTCTACACAGGGTGAGAAAATCCATGAAGACATCTTTGATATCATAGACCGAGAAGCAGATGGAAGTGACAGTCTAGAGGTGAGGGCCTCCCCACTGAAGAGGGCTGGGGAAAGGTGAGGAGGTGACCTGAACAGGTTAATACAAAGGGGACAATTCAAGACCATTTGGGGGACTGGTAATGTAATTCAGTGATAGAGCACTTGCCTAGCCTGAGGGAAGCCCTGGGTTTGATCCCCAGCAACTGGGGCAGCGGGGTTGGCATCAGATATTGGGACATTGAAGAAAATAAGATACAGTCCTTGTTCTCAAGGAAGTCATAACCTGGGTGACATCAGCTCCTTGTGCATGGAATTGATTCAACCTGTTCAGGCTCTAAACCTTCCCAAGGAGCCTCATCCTGGATGAACACAGAAGAAACCTTGAGACACAGTGTGTTGGAAGTAGGGAATGAGCCAAGCATGAAGCCTCTCCACCTCTCCCCTTGCAGGGCTTTGTGCTGTGCCATTCCATTGCTGGAGGTACGGGTTCTGGCCTAGGCTCCTACCTTCTGGAGCGACTGAACGACAGGTAAACCTGTATTTGAGAAGACATTATCCCTTGTTCCCTAGGTACTATATTTTCATGTTTTCACTTTTTTTCTCATGAGTTGCTAGGTCTGCCAGGACCCTCTCTGCTTTGAGTAATAGGGACAAACCCACTCAGGGAATACTTTGGAAGCAATAACTGGGGGAAGAAGAGGTTAAAAGGAAGGGGAGGGAGCCTACAGGATTTGATACTTGTGGCTTATTTTGGGATTTTGGGGGAGGCTAGTTCTACTCTTACTCCTTTTGTATAAGAACTCAATGGCAAATGAATGGTCATTATTGTCCCTAGAGGAGATTGAGAGTGGCAGTCATGGGGTTCATCCACTTCACTGTCTACCCTCCCCTTTTCCCTCTTCCTTGCCCCCAGGTATCCCAAGAAGCTGGTACAGACGTACTCAGTGTTCCCCAGTCAGGATGAGATGAGTGACGTGGTGGTCCAGCCCTACAACTCACTCCTCACACTTAAGAGGCTGACCCAGAATGCAGACTGCGTGGTGAGCAAAGGAGAACAAGTTGGGAGGGTTGGCCTACCTCTGTAGGCCAGTCAGTCACCTGCACCTTGCTTTTTCCAAGTCCCTGCTCTTACAGAGAACAGAGATCAACAAAGTCACAATATGTGGGCCAAATTGTGCAGTAAGGTCCCAAATTCCAGATTGCTTTCAGTCCTTTTAGGCAGCAAGGCTCTCAACAAAGTGAGAGTACCTACCCTTATTTTGCCCACTCAATTCCTACTCATGTTTGAACTCTTAACTCAAGGATCACTTCATTAGCAAAGGCTTCAGCAACTGCCCAGTAAAGGTCAGGTTTCTTTGTGCATATTTCGGGTTGTTAAATAAATGAAACAGACAAATGTTGTTTTTTGATGCTTAAGATTGAACCCAGGGCCTTATGCATGATAAGCACATGCTCACTGTGCCTACACCCCAAGCTCGTTGTTTTATACCTAATGTCTGTCTAGGCCAGGCATGGTGGTGCACACCTGTAATCCCAGCAACAAGGAGGTTGAGGCAGGAGGACTGCAATTTCAAAGCCAGCCTCAGCAATTTAGCAAGGTCCTGAGCAATTTAGCAAGACTTAATTTTTTGGGGCAGAGGGGAGAAGAGAAAGGCAAGATCTGTGTCTCTGGGCCCAGGATTAAGAAATAAAAAGGACTGGAGATGTGGTTCAATGGTTAAGCACCTCTGAGTTAAATTCCCAGTACAAAAAAAAAAAAAAAAATTAATACCTGTCCCATTGGACTGTAAGCCCAATGACACAAAGACCATGCCTGTTTTATTCTCTGTGGTATCTCTAGAGCCAAGCACTGTGAGTAATACCTAGGTGAACTCACATATTTGTTAACTGTCCTGCATGGTCCAAAAGTACATGATGATGCCACAAAGAAAATACTTTCCTTTTAAATTAGAAAAAGTTACTTCCTGGTTTTGGAGTTTAGTAATGGCTGAGCTATACCTTATTTCTATACCGCTTTTCTCCTCAAAAAGATGCTGTAATTCCCTTCTACCCTTCAGGTGGTGCTGGACAATACAGCCCTTAATCGGATAGCCACAGACCGCCTCCACATCCAGAACCCATCCTTCTCCCAGATCAACCAGCTGGTGAGCCCCATCCTAGACTCCATTGGACCAGAAACCCTCATTGCTAGAAGGCCATCTGGGAAGGGAGGTCCCACATGGGCCAATACCCATGATGCACACCCCCATCCCCAGGTGTCCACCATCATGTCGGCCAGCACCACCACCCTGCGCTACCCCGGCTACATGAACAACGACCTCATCGGCCTCATCGCCTCGCTCATTCCCACACCACGGCTCCACTTCCTCATGACCGGTTACACCCCCCTCACTACAGACCAGTCAGTAAGAGCAGCCTTCAGTGTCCCAGGCAGGGTTGGCCTGGGCCTAGAGATACTGAACTTTGACTTTCTTTTCTCCCCTCTGCCCAAAAATTACCCTTTGCAGCCCCCCAAGGCTCTTGCTCAGGGCCTGACAGGAAGCAGGCCATTTGCCTGCTGACTTGTGTCCACCTTCCCTCAGCCTTGGCTCCTGCAGGCACGGGGTTGAATGGGGTTGGCTTCTCCTCCTGTATAGGGGCATGAGTTTGCTAAGAGCCTACTCCTGCCTCAGAGTCTTGGGGTAGACCTGAACCTAGAGACATTGTCCACAGATATATCACAGTATCCTGAGTTGGATGGGGACATGTGTTGGCTCCTCTTTTGGACTATGTCTTAAGTGCCAGCCTGGTCCCTGTGACCCACTTTCCCCTCAGGTGGCCAGCGTGAGGAAGACCACAGTCCTGGATGTCATGAGGCGGCTGCTGCAGCCCAAGAACGTGATGGTGTCCACAGGCCGGGACCGCCAGACCAACCACTGCTACATCGCCATCCTCAATATCATCCAGGGAGAGGTGGACCCCACCCAGGTAAGTGAGGCCTCTTTGCCCTGTCCCCTGAATCCACAGGGTAGAGGAGTGGCCACCATCACTGCTCCCATACCCACTTCAGGTCCACAAGAGCTTGCAGAGGATCCGTGAACGGAAGTTGGCCAACTTCATCCCCTGGGGCCCAGCCAGCATCCAGGTGGCCCTGTCGAGGAAGTCTCCCTACCTGCCCTCAGCCCACCGGGTCAGTGGGCTCATGATGGCCAACCACACCAGTATCTCCTCAGTGAGTCCAGTCACTTCTTACCAGTGTCTATCTACCTTCATCAAATTCTTCCAGTCCTTTCCTTTTTGTTTTCCCTTTTGGCAGTACCTAGATTTGAACTGCTTTTTATTTTTGAGACAGGGTCTCACTAAGTTGCTCTGGCTGGCCTTGAATCTGTGGTCCTCAAATCTACAGCCTCCCAAGTAGCTGGGATTATATGCATGTGACACTGCACCTAGCTCCCCCAGTCTGTTCCTAGTCCCCGTATTATACTAGCACCCATTCTGAAGATTTCCTTCTTTTTCAGCTCTTTGAAAGTTCCTGCCAGCAGTATGACAAGCTATGGAAACGGGGGGCCTTCCTGGAGCAGTTCCGCAAAGAGGATATCTTCAAGGACAATTTTGATGAGATGGACAGGTCCAGGGAGGTTGTTCAGGAGCTCATTGATGAGTACCATGCAGCCACACGGCCAGACTATATCTCCTGGGGCACCCAGGAGCAGTGATTTTCCTCTCTGCTCTTCCCCCCTGTACAGGAAGCACAGCCACCACCATGACTGGTCCCTCTAATCCAACTTTACCTTACTGGATTCCTCTCCTCCCCAGAAACTGGCCCAACTTCCTCCCTTCCATTCCTGACCCTTGATATGCTTGTTCAGTTCAAATAAAGTTATAAAGCTTGGAGATGAATATAGTCAGGGCTTGATCTGTCACTATGGGGGATGGGATCTTCAGTTTTCAGGTGAGTGATGGTAAGGTTGCCTTCATTTCCTCTAACTTCTTCCCACCTAGTCCAGGTCTTAGTATGTCTGTTTCCATTGAGGTCCCTTGCCTTGAACCAGGCTGTTATACTGAAGTTGGCCAACTTCATCCCCTGGAGCCCAGCCAGCTTTCAAGTAGAGAGGGTTAATGAGGTCTACTGTCTCCTTAGTGTTTAAGTTCCTGCTTCAGGTTGAATCAATGCTGCTCCAGTTTCCTCCATTCAGCAAAGAGGATGTGGGGTTTATGAAAGTAGGGCCTATTTCATTCTGAGCAGGTCAGAAAAGCTGGAACTCTGGATGCCCAGGGCCATAAGAATCTCAGGAACTCAACCCAGTTCAACTCAAAGTGATAAGCAGGACAGAACTTAGGAGTAGGCTGTACTCATCCTGAGTTCTTTTTCTGTGCCAGAGGAATGTTTGGGTCTATATCCTGCCTCAAGCTTCTCTCCATTTCAAGCCCAAAGCAGTAAGCAGAACAAAGATGAACCCAAACAGGATCAGAAGCTGGACACCAGGGTAGAATATAGGCAGAGACAGTCTTAATGACTCACAGCCCTCCAGCTTCAGGGATACCATGGGGCCACCCCTTTGCCACTGGATGGAGAAGAGAGGGTGAGTAATTCCCAGCTTCCAATTCTGTCTTCTTGCCTGCCCCGCCCATTACTCTATAGCAGCAAACTGGCTAAGAGGAGGTTAAATCCAGAAGGTCAAGGAGGGTGGAGCTCTGTGGTGTCCAGACTCCCTTCAGTGTCTGATAAAACCCCCAGAGTGTGGGTGTCCCCAGGGGTGGAGCTGTGAGCTATGGAGCTCCAACTTGTCCCATTGAAAACACTCCCACAAGAAGGGTTTGTGTAAATAAGGATTTTTTTTTTTTTTGGCTTCTCTTCTACAAATAAATTAAGAAACAAACTATAAAATTGTCCACACCCATTTCAGACCTTGGGTGTGGGGTCTGTGCCCTGTCCCTGCAGGGCCAAAAGGGTCCATGGTCTCCTCAAATCTCAGAGTAGTCCTGGCCCAGGCTGGAGGGAAGAGGGGAGTCATGACCTCTTGGCAGGCTCAGTCCTGCAGCTGCCCCAAGAAGCCAGACTGTCCCTGGGGCTCATCCAGGCTTTGGTGCTGGCTGGGAGAGGAGGTGTCTGGCAGGTCTTGGCATGGAGGAGCAGAGCTGCCGCAGGGCCTCTCGGGGAAGGGGTTGGCCAAGTAGGCATTCACCAGCTGCATGATCTCTTCCACCTAAGAGAGAGCAGAGGTCAATGCACAACAGGAGCAACTAGATTCTCTTCTTTCATTCAGGCTCTAGGGCTCCAGCTTCTCTACCAGGGTCCTTCAAGTTCTCGCTCCTGACAACCTTACCCATCTTCACCATCCTACTAGGAATTGAGCCCAGGGGAGTTTTACCACTAAGCTATACCCCCACCCCTTAAGTTTTTGAGATAGGGCATCACTAAATTGCTGAGGCTGGCCTCAAACTAATGATCCTCCTGTCTCAGCCTCCGGAGTCTCTGGGATTACAAGTGTGCACCCCTGTGCCCAAATCATTCTTGTTTCTTTCTGCTCCTCTACCATGCCAAGTATACTTTCCTCTCTTGGCCTTTGTACTTACAATTCCCTTTATCTGGAATGCTATTCCCCTAGATTTTCCTGTGGCTAACTTATGTCATCCTCTTGAGAATCTGGCTCTGACTACCTAATGCTTGGCCCCTACAGTTACTTCCCATCATACTACTCTTTCCTTCTAGCTTAATGATCTTTGATTACTTGTTGATTGTCTGATTCCCACACTCTAAGCTCCTAGGAGCTTGTCTTTGATCATAGCTGGCTTCCCAGTACCTAGAGCTGTACCCATGATTGATGGTCCATAGATTGTTCTGTGCTTGCCTCTTCCTACTCACCTGGGGACTCTGCAGGAGGAGCTGACTCTCGCCTACCCTCAATGCTAGGGTTTGGGGACCCATTAGCTGGCAGGCGGCCACATGACCATAGCTGACACTGTGGATGGGTTCTGTCTCACCAGGCCGGGAGAGGGACATGGTCTTGGCTCCCAGACCCAGGCATAGCTTCTGTGGAGCACCTCCACCAGGTTCCTGCAGACAGATAGGCAGAGTCAGGGGGGAAGGAGAGGACAGCATTCTTTTTGGTAGGGGAAAATGGTTGTGAGCAGGGAGTTCCCTGACCCCTCTATGATACACAGTGAAATATGAAGGGGGCTAGGGTCCAGGAGGTGCAAGCCCCCTAGGGCTGGTGTCTCCTGGCATTTGGAAGTAGGAAGTGAAGTGACCCACAGTGGGGGCCTATGGCTCTGGGGCAAAGGTGTGGGGCTTGGGCCTCCAGAGTCCCCTTCTCCCTTCTCCCCCTCACCGTGCTCAGCTCCAGAACGTCATACCGAGCAGCGCCGAACCCCGGACACTGCGCCGCCAGAGCCAGGTAGGCAGCCATGGCCTCAGCTCGGCCCATGCCCCGTAACCGCTTCCAGCCGCCCAGCACAGCAGCAGCGGTGCGGGCGCCTCCGCCTCCTCCCTCGGGGGCTGCTGTGCGGCAGGCCCCACTGCGTCGAGCCCGCTCCGCCCGCCTCTTGGCCAGGCTGGGGCTCCAGAATGCCCCGGCCAGCAGGGCGGCTGAGGGCGGTGGCCTGGGAGTTGGGCGGGGCTGAACTTCGCACGGAGGGATGGGGGGCGGGATGGGGGGCGGCAGCAGGCGGTCTAGGCGAGGCAGGGGCACCCGCGGGGAGAAGTCTCGGTGCAGGCTCTGCAGGCGCAGCGCCGCCAGGGCGCGCAGTGTGTCGTCGGGTGGTGGCGGCCGGCCGCGCAACAGCAGAGCATGAGCCTGCAAGGAAGGCACCGGGCGTCAGCCAGCAGTGGCAACTATACTGTCGCAAATCACCTTGGAGGGTGGAGCCTGAGAAGTTAAGGGTTTGGGGACAGTCTACCTTGGGGTTACCAGAACGGTTAATTGAAATGGCCTAGAAAGAGATCAGGCATAGATGGTATATTCCGAGGTGTGAATGTCGGAGATCCTCACCTGCTCAAAGAGGAAAGGCAGTTCGTGACCGTCTGGGGATAGTCCCTCAGGATGCAGAGGTCCGTGAAGACGCAGACACAGTCTCCACCCGGAGTCCAGCGAGTCTTCCAGTCTGGCTTCCTCTGAGGCTAAACTGCAGAAGAAAAAAGAACAGAGGCAATGGGGAAGCAGGGCCCAGCAGAGTGCTGGCGACTTGGGAAAGGGGCAGGACAAGTTTGGGGGTGTGGCCATATGTTTTGGGCGGGGCCCCCAAGAGTGGCCTACAAAGGTGAGCATAGAAGTCAGATTACACACAGACTGCAGATAGGGAGTCTGTCTGTAACTTAGAACAAATGCCAAGTGCTCAATAAATGTTTGCTTAGTGATTTAAGCTGAGGAGATGGGTTAATAGAACAGTTCTGGGCTGGACATTTACTTCTCAAACCTGGTGAGCACGTCGGCCACGAGGGTCCCCCCAGCCAGCGCTCGTTCCTGGGCACCACGCTGTTCATACAACGCAAAGACATTGCGGCTCCGGGCCAAACCCAGCCGCCCCACCAGCTCTCGAGCCACCTAGAAGGAAGAGAGGAAGAGGGTCTTGTTTGGATCCTCAGGCATACGGATCCAACTGACACTACCATTATCCCACTTATAGAAATAAGGAATCAGAGACTAGGGCCAACCCAGGGTTCAGGAGAAGCAGGTATGAGAACTTAGAAGGAAGGGTTGGGGATACCCGGGACCTTTGGCCTCACCTCCCCTGCTGTCGTGTGAGAGTCAATGGCCACAGAGCAGGCACCAGCCCCTGGACAGTGCACCGTGCACAACAGCTCCTGTCGTTGGCTCAGTGCGGAAATCTCTGCCAGCGATGGCACCAGCTCTCTGCCGCGCGTCCGGCCCAGAGCTTTCCTGATGAAGCGCGCATATTCCGCTAGTTCCGAGTCCGGCAGTGCCTGCTCAGTCCTGTATTAGGAGGAATCACAGGAACAGTGCTCCAAGGGCTTTCCTACTCCTCTTATTCCTCCTCCCACCCTCTCCCCTTCTTGTATTAATATTTTATTTCATCTAGTCAAACTCCTTCCCTTCAATTCAAGTTTCTTGAAGGCAGCCTTTCTCCGGGGCTTTGCATGGAGCTAAACTAAATTACTTTCGATGTCTTCTGGCAGCTTTCTCCCAACTGTCCCCACCCACTTTCGAAAATCTCCTGATCTTCCCCGCTGAAATCCAAAATTGAACCACATTACTGTGCTTTCCTAAGCCCTGGTACTGGTCTGCATGATGAGGAAAAGCAGACTTTTTATAATTCCTCTGCCCAAAGAGGGTGCCTTATTGTAATTCATTTGCTCACCAGTGGGATATGATCTTGCAATTCCTACAAAAGCAGGGGATTTATCCCTTCTCTGCACCTAGGTTCTCCATCTGTCAACCCCCTTGCAAAGGCCTTTAGTTCTCTCCCAGCCCTGAAACTCCTTTGCCTTGGCCTTACACTTTTTTCTTTCTTCTCACCTCTCCAAATGCCCTAGGAGGTGCCCCCGAACAGCTACCCCAGGCCGGAAGGTGCAGCTCATGCAGGTGAGGAGCTGCCAGTACCGCAGGGTTGCAGGGTCTTGGGTAGCAGGGAGCCCAGGAGGACCTGCAGGGCCTGAGGTCTGCTTAGCCAGCTGCAGGAAGAGTTCATCCCGGAGTGCAGGCAGGTCCCGACAGGTTTGGAGCACACCCTGCATCAGGGGCCCAGGGCGCCTTGCCCCCTCCAGTGCCTGGAGCGCAAGGAACAGCCTTACCGCCTCCTCTCTCAAGGGTGCATAGCCAGGACCTGTGGGAGGGTGGGGGTGGAGGGACGGTTTGGAGAGGGGACACAGAGGTGCACCCTGGGAGGAAGGTGCAAACCAGGGAAAGGTCAGGAGTATAATGGGAACAGGGGTGGCAAGAAGGGAAGGGTACGAATGACAGGAATAGTGAAGGGAAAGCAATGGTCCCACAAAGCCAAACTTTCAACCCTTGCCTCCCAGAAATCCTCTCTCCCTATCCTCCTAAACCTGGACCTGTTGGAAAGTGAGACCATGGCGGGCAATCAGGGCGAGTTGTCACCCCTGCCAGGAAGGTAGGAAGGTTCCCAAGAGGTCTCACCAGTATGGTAGAGAGAAAGACTAAGGGAAGTAGGTTCAAACCCCAGATTCTGTAACTGGGATAGAACAGGCTGATCTGGGAGTTAGAAAACCAGAGTTCTTCAGAATCCCAGCTCCCTAATCCTCTAGCTTTAGTACCCAGACTAGTCACTATACCCTTTTGGGGAGAGATATAGCTGGATGAGGCAAGCACATTCTCCCCAAGAGGTGTTTTTTTCTACCACGCATAAAGGTAATATGACATGTTATTAAGACCATGTTTTTTTTTAAATTTTAATTAGTTATTAATGGACCTTTATTTATTTGCTTATATGTGGTGCTGAGAATCGAGCCCAGTGCCTCACACATGCTAGGCAAGCGCTCTACTGCTGAGCCACAACTCCAGATCAAGACCATGATTTTAAAAATAGAAGAGAAAGGATAAAAATCCCAGAAGGATCATTAATGGTCAGAATGAGATCTTTTAGAGAAATAGTCACTCACAACCATTTTTTTTTTTCCTGTTCTGCTTTCCCTCCCTTCCACTCTTATCAGCTTAGTTTCACCTTCATCCTTTGAAAAGTGTAGATCTCTGTAGAGCCCTTGAAGACTTAAGTCCCTGCCAATTAAGGCATTCAGATTCTTACTTATGATCTACCTCATCCCATCCAGGAAAGCTGGGCCGTAGGACCACTCACCTGGGGCACTGACTCCATAGGGCAGGGGCAGAAGTGGGGCATACAAGGCTCCACTGGTATGCCTCAGAATCGGGTTCCGACGGTAGATGAGGGCCACCGCCTCTGGATCCCCGCAACTCTCCTAGATACCAGGAAGAGGGTCACCTGATGGGGAAGGGAGTTCCCTGTGCCAAGAAAGCTTTAAGTTAACCATCCTCCAGGCTCTTAGTTGAGTTCCCTCTCTCACCTGTATGTCCCTGAGCAATAGCTGGGTGGGGGTCTCTAGCGGAGCCTTTGAGGAGATCACTTCGCGCAAGGCCACCCCCCAGCGCTCAGCCTCTGCCTGGCGGGGGGAGCAGAGGCGGACGCTGTGTTTCCGGCCAGACACAGTCACTGACCACAGACCTGTTGGAAAGTGAGACCATGGCGGGCAATCAGGGCCAGTTGTCACCCCTGCCAGGAAGGTAGGAGGGTTCCCAAGAGGTCTCACCAGTCTCCTTGGGCCTGCGCTCTGGGCCAGTGACTGAGCACAGGCTGGTGAGTACAAGGCTCCCGAGGCGCCGAGCACCCTTCCCATTGCTGCTGAAATGGTCCAGAGAATCACGAGTGAGCACGAACCAGGCTCGGCGAGGAGGCAGCCATGGCCGTGCCCCTCCTCCGCGGGGCTCGCGATACAGCCAACCTGGGAGGACAAAGGAAGATGAGGGGCCAGCCCAAGGAGACATTATCCTCTACAACTGGGGGCCTCCAGAGTGCCCTGAGGGAGTCCCCACCTTTCACAACGATGTCGGGGTCATCCTCCGGCAGACCCTTTTCTGGAATGAGGCTCCAAGTCTCCTCCCAGCTGTGCAGCCTGGGTCAGAAAGGAAAAGTTGAGTGAGGCTGCGAGACCTCCACTCCGCCTCCAGGGGGCTCCTCTGTAGGGGCTCCCCAGGCTGCGCTGGGTGCTTGCTCCTAAGCTGGGCACCCCTCCTCCAGGCTGTGGGAACCGCAGGGCCGTTCTGACCTTGCACCAGAAATAGCCAGGACCCCCCCACCTTCTTCCCCACGCCCCCAGACTGGACCGCCCCCCGGGACCCCGGCCAAACCACAGCGTCCGGCAGCATTGGGCCTCTCCCTTATTGCACAACCCCGTGAGGGAAGACCACAAGGATGCGGGTCCCAGGAACCAGCTGGGGTCTCAAAACTAAGAATGGGGCCGGGATTGTGGCTTAGTGGTAGAGTGCTTGCCTAGCACGTGTGAGGCACTGGGTTCAATCCTCAGCACCACATAATAAATAAAATAAAGTTAAGAAGAAACAACAACAACCAAGAATGAAGAGGTGAAACTCACCTGTCAGAGACTGCGGCGCTCCTCACAGGCTGAGTCAGTGTTACATCCAGGGGACTCTGGGGAGATAGGCAAGGAAACTCAGCATCAGAGCCCTCCCTGCCCAATTCTGTGTCTAAGACAGTGCTGCTCAGGGGGTGGAGGAAGAAGTCAAGGAGTTAGGTAGTGACTGGGCTGAATGACCAGGAGCTGCTCTATCCGGGGTGTCTATGCAAACAAACTCTAAGACCAGCCAGGAGCTAAGAAGCCAAAGCTCCGGCCTTTCCCCCTTTCCCTTTGAAGATGCAAAGGGGTCTGATAGGGTGGAAAGAGTCCTGGGCAGGGAGTCAGAGACCTGGGATCTAATACTGGCTAGACTACTAACTCACTGTGTCAAGTCCGCTTCCCTCTCTGTGCACACATTTCCTCATCTTTGAAACACCAGAAGTGGACCAAGTCCCTTCTCCCTTTGGCAGCCTGGAAGGCACTCCTTCCTCCTCATTTTTCCTTCACCCATTCTACCTTGTTGGCCAGGGGAAGGCATGTGGTGGGCACGGAGACAAATGTAGGGAATTTAAGAGCTTGGTACATTCACCCGCAAAAACACTCCTGAGATTCAGGGGACAGCAGAGACCCCACCTCTTTGCTGGGGTTCAGAAAGGGCAGGCCAGGCTGAAAAATAGCGCACACTTTCCAGGCCAGGTGTGGTTTGAGATTTTGTCCTTCTCTCACCACATCCCTACCAGCTCTCCTGGAACTTCAAGTGTAGACTGGGGTCTGAGAAAGCCTCAAACCCAACCCAAAGCCAAGCCAGGCAGGAACTGTGCCATGGTCCCACTGTGCCCAGACTGCTAGACAGCCAGGAGTGGGGAGGAGGGGAAGGGAGACCAGGGACACCTGTCCCAAGGAGGAGGGGGTGGAGGTGGAGCATGAAGGAAGCAATGGCTTGGTTAACAGAGCAGACCCTGCCCAGACTGGAAGCTTGCGGGACGCCTGAGTACTCTGCCTTCCCTGGAAACACATTCACCTATTTTCTGGAGGGTCTGAGCAGAGCTTTCAGCCACAGCACCAGAGGGGCAGGTACTAATCACCCTTTTAGACCAACCCTGGTAATCGCAGTCCCCTGCTTCCCTCCCCCCCTCTATATTTATCTGCCCTCTGCCTCGCCAGGTGCTGGCGCAGGCTCCACTAGCACCCCGCCCCACCCGGGCACTGAGCCACAGAGCCTGCTGGGGACCCCTGAGGGGGATGGGAGCCTGACCCAGGCCACAGCACATAAGAGATTGATTGCCAGAGTATAGAAGCATGGGAAAGGGCACGACATCAGAGATGGAGGTCTGCCACATCAATCGTGCCTCAGGTGACCGGAAGGGGAGATCTGACAAAACCCAGCAACCAAGTGTTCCCCACTGTCCCCTCAGGGACTTCCCAGGAGCCTCACCAGGGAAGGCCGAAAGTTCTGTCCTGAGCGGCAGGGTAATGACGAGAGGTCCTCAAAGGGCCACAGCCCCCAGCTCCCTGTCCGTGCGGTCCTCACCACAGACCCCAATCCTAGGATGCCTTCTCCCCCTCGCCCAGATCCCGGTGGAGGGAGCTCCCGAATCTGGCCCCAGTGCTCACCAACTTGGAGCAGAGGGGACCCAGGCGTTCGAGCCGCCCAGCCGGCCTCGCCACATTCTTTGGCCCTGGCGGAGGCGGAAGGAGACGGGATGGGACGCGAGCCGGCAGGGAAGGGAGAGGCAGAGGCAAGGCCAGGTCGCGCCACGCGTGACGCCTCCCCTGCCTCAGGGCGCCCAGCAGGTGGACAGCGCCCAGTGTGCGGCGCTAGGCCCACAGGCACATCCCAAGTCGGGCTGCTCCTTGAGCTCCTGGGGGCTCTGGGCTCCAAGCAAGAATCTCTCCCACATCCCCAGTTTGCTAAGAGTGCGGCAGCGTTTGGCTGGAGTCTGGAGTGGGATCAGGCGTGACTGCCGGTTGTAGTGAAAGTGATTGAGACAAGACTCTAAATCCCCCCGGGACTTACCCTCCCGCCCGCTGGACTCGGGGTCCGTAGCTCAAAGGTCTCCTCGTCTTCGTCCTCGTCCCCGTCCCCGCTAAGCTCGCCGTCACCATAGTCCCGGTGCAGAAGAGTGAAGCCTCGACGGCAGCAGAGGAGCCACCACAACCCCCCCGGGAGAGGCATCCGGGCGAGCAGACGGGGGATGGGGGCCCAGGCAGCCGAGGCCAAGCAGCAGGGGATCAGAGAAACTGGCGGGGCTCCGACCCAAGCGGGAGAAAGATGAGGCGGGAGGAGGAGGTGGGAGAGGGGGACAGGGAGGAGGCAATGTCTAGGGCTAGGGTGCTGGGGGACGCTGGCTAGAGCCTGCGATGGGCTCAACGTCTGGGCCCCTGTAGGGGGAGGGGGGGAAGGAGTCCAGGGCCTGGGGGGAACAGGGAGCAATGTCCGGAGCTGGGAAGTAGTGTCCGTTGTAGTGTCCAGCCCTGTGGGGGGCAGTGTCCGGTGCAGTGTCGAGGTGGGCAGTTGTCCAAGCTCCAGGGAGGGTCGTGTCCGGTAGGGCGTCCGGTGGCCGGGGCCCCAGCGGCGCGCGCTGCGCTCCCTGCAGCCCCGGGACTGGCGCGCTGGGGGCGCGAGCACAGCTCCCGGACCCCGCCTCCCCAGCCCCCTCCCTCTTGAGCCCCCCCTTCCCTCCTCTTTCTCTCCTCCCTTCTTTACAGGGCAGGGTCCACGTTTCGTCACAGTCTCCTCCGCCCAATCCCTGTGCCTGGAGCCGGGCTTGGCCACCAATCACAAGCTTGCAACTGCTTTGGGTTGCATCATGTGCCTTTGGCTGGGAGCCAGCTGGGAGGGGCGGGGAAAACAGGGAGGGAGGGGGCGGTACGATGTTAACCACGCCCCAGTTTCTGAGGTCGGCAGCGGGGTGCCAGTGACATCACGAGAGCCCGCCTTCAAGTTCTTGTTTTAACTCTTAGTTCACCAGCCAGCCAAATTAAAAACCCTCTTGAGGAGCTCTGGAGAACGAAGGGCATGGAGTTGAAGGGAAGCTCGACTGCTGCGCTCTATTTCCTCTCAGGGTCCCTGGGAAACGGAAGAACTTTAACTATCGTGAGGGTTTCCAGACCTGAACCAGACCCAGCTCTAAAGACGACCCTGCACCCCTGGAGTTAAGAAGTCCAGTTCCTAGATCTGAGTCATCTCATTTTTGAGGTGAAGCAGCTAAGGAGGGAAGGCGCAGACCTAGCCGGCAATAAAATCGAATTTAGAGTGCTGTTCACCGAACTCGAGTAGAGAGAGTGGCTTCGCATTCTAGGGAATTCTATGATCTCCAAATAGAGCGGAGGCCCCCCAGGGCGAATATTCTGCAGTTCCGAGCAAGGAGGGGTTAACCAAGGCTTTGGGCGGCCGGGGGCGGGCCCTGGCAACAGCAGGAGAAAGAGGGCGCGCGCGAGTGTGCGCGCGTTGCTGACTCAGCGGCGATTCCCTAAGTCTCCCGAGGAGGATTCTGTGTCGGCCCCCAAAGGCTAGCTGTGAGACCCCTTGAGGATCCGCACAGTCTCCAGGACTTCCTTGGATCCTGGTCCTTAGAGGCCAAGGCTTTCTAGCTAAGGCTCTTGGAAGCTCGGCTAGTCCGGGCTTGGCGGGCGGGACAAGGCGGGGACTTCAAGCCAGCGCCTCCCCTGAGACCTCCTCCCCACGCCACGCCCTTCTCGCCCCTAGCTTCGGCTGGAGTGCTGGGTACAGCTTTGCTGACAGGATATTAAACTGAGAGAATTGTCGCACGTGAACACCCTCCTGTCTGTTTCGATCGTGCAAAACAAAGACCAAGAATCAATGCCATCCACTCAAGAGGCCATCCAGGCTGTGCCTTCGCCACAGAGCTCTGTACTGAAATTACCTAGGCTAGGAGACAACCATAACACATAACACAACCACAACACAACCATAGCTCTCTTCCCTGTCTGGATCCTAGGCCCTTGCCTGCAGGGGAGTTCTTTCGTTGTCTAACCTTCCTCCTTCTCCGCAAACTCAGTGCATTCCCTCTGAGCCTATCCCCAGGGAAGTTGGAGAACTGAAAGTACCCCCCCCCACACACACACACACACAAACACACATACACACACCACACCCCTGATAACTCCTCTTTGGTAATTTGCATTGCAATTCCCTTCTAGTTTTTTCTGCAAGGTGAAAAACTCCAATTCAACTTTTTAAATTACTTTTTTTTTCTTTCCATCGCAGAAACTTTAGACGGGATTATACTATGTTAATCTAATTCAAACGCCTGTTCAAAACGAGAATCTCCTGTCCCCAGCCCCTACCTCGGTACCATACACAGGCTCACACAGTGCAGGACAGCCTCAGTTTACACATTCCAGAGACCGGGAACTCAGTACTTGCTAAGGCAGCCATTACTGGATAGCGCTCTGGTTGTTAGAAAGCTCTTCCTTACGCTATGTCAAGAGGAACCCCTGCCCCTCCTCTTCTGGCACTTTTCCCACTTCACCTCTGTTGGCAGAGACTTAGTAAAAGTGGAGGGGGTGTCAGTGCCTAGAGCTTTAGCAGACTCAGCAGCACCCCCCTCCCGCCCCAGGCTCTTAGCACCTCCCACTCAGACCCAAGCACGGGGGTGAGGAGGGAGGGGGTGTAACCCAACTGTCTGCCCTGCTACAAATCACTTCGAAGTCGGTGATTCAAAAATAGTAACAATTGTTGAGTTGCATCTCATCTCCATGTTATCAATTTAATGTAGCAAGACACAGAAGTAATCCCTTTAGGTTCCTATCGTTCTCAGTGTTTCCCCACCTACACTCTTTTTCCCTTACCCTCCCTGGAATTGTTTCCGCAGCCCACCCCCTCCTCTGGATTAGCAGCCCTAATTGTCCCAGGAGAGACTGTGTGTCTCCGTGGGAGCTGAGCAAGAAGAAAGGCGGGGCCGGCGGGGGCAGCGGCCGCGGGGCTGAAGCCTTGGGCTGCAGCTCCCACCCCGTAGCAGCCTCCTCAGGTCCTGGCGGAAGCGCAGGCCCAGAAACGCATAGAGCACGGGATTGAGGCCGCAGCGGGCCAGGGCCAATCCGCCGGTCACTAGCAGTGCCAGATCCTTGCGCTTGCTGGCAGGGCAGCTTCGCTCATGGGCTGCCAGTAGATCAGCGGTATCCAGGAGCAGGGCGAGGCTGTACGGCAGTTGCAGCACCACGAAGGCTGCCACCAGGGCCACCACAACGCGCAAAGCGCGCCGGCGCTCCGGCCCCCTGGCGGCCAGCAGCGTGCGGCCCAGCAGAGCGTAGCAGACTGCCATGACGCCCAGCGGCAGCGCGAAGCCTAGGACCACCTGCGCCACGGCGCTTGCCCCTTTCACGGTCTGCGTGAGGCCCTCGGGGAAGATAAGGCGACAGCGTCGCTGACCTTCGCGTTGCCCGTCCCGGCTGAAGAGGAGCGCAGGTAGCGCCAGGAGCAATGACAGCAACCACACTAAGACTGAGACCAAGTGTGTGCGGCTGGGCGTGGAGGGCCGCTGCCCAGCTGGGAGCGCCCGAGCGATGGCCACGTAGCGGTCGGCACTGATACAGGCTAGGAAGAGGAAACCGGCATGGAAGGAGGCCGAGTAGAGGCCCGAGATGGCACGGCAGGTGGCACTTCCTAGACTCCAGCCCTGGAGAGCTCCTGCTGCAGCAAAGGGCAGGGTCAGGGCCAATAGGAGATCGGCCAGGGCCAGCTGGAGCAGGTGGGCCGAGGTGGGTGAGCGGGCAGTGCGTCGGGCCGCTAGATGAGTGGCTAGGACCAGGCCATTGCCGGCCAAACCTAGAGCAGCCACCGTCAGAGAGACGCTGGGTTGGAAGGCCCGACTGAAGGCCTGGACATCCGCCTTGTAGCAGATCTCTGGCAACGGCTCAGCAGAGTACACTTCATCACCATCCCCTGAGTAGGGGCCCCAGGAAACCTGGGGAGGTCAAAATGAGAGGAGGGACGGTATGAAATACTTGCCTGCATCTCTCTCCCGCCCCACGCCTTCCACGCAGGAAACCCCAGTGAGACCAGGAATAACAGTATATGGAAGCTCCTCTAGACTCTTCCAAGCACAACCTAAAAGGCTCTTACTTCCCTTGCATCCCTCTTGCGTCTGCTTCTTGTTTCCTGGGTGACCTTGAGCAAGTTTCTTGCTCATTCTGAACCTCAGTACTTAATATATAAAGCAGAAATTAGAAATCCTGTCTATCCCACCTGGCAATGTTTTAATTGAGACCCGTTTGAAGTATGGAAGATAATGTATGTAAAGCATCTAGCTCTCCATAGATCAAGCGTTTGTATTATTAATAAATCTTGCCTCATGATGGCGCACACCTGTAATCCCAGCTGCTCCGGAGGGTGAAGGCAGGAGAAATTCGAGGCCAGTCTGGGCAATTTATTGAGCCCCTGTCTAGGCCCTGGGTTCAATCCCCAGTACAGGTGGGTGTGAGGGTAGGAATCTTGCCGTTCCCTTTGCAGCGCCCTCTTCTGGAAGGTCGACCAGATGCAGACATTGCCTCAGATCTAGACCCTGAACCCAAAAGCTTGGTTTGGAATGGATTTCCATCTTCTTTCTTTTCTCTAGCCTCCTCCCCGCCACTACCTTAAGTATAGGCACACTGAACCACTCATGTAAAAGGGGCCTCAAGGGTTGGGATTCAGATTTTGGGGCTCCAACACAAGTCAGAATGGCAGAGGCCTGATGACAAATGGAGAATCCCATCCCTTCCCCTTCCCCACCCTTGGTGTAACCCTTCACCCCCTCCCGTCCCCCACTCCCACCTGCTCTGTGGGCTCCGTCCCCATCTCTGGCTACAAAGGTTTCTGAGGTGTAGCCACAGGGGGGTAGAGGTTAAATAACTAGTGAGACAGGAAGGAAGGGGTGGGGAGAGGGACCTCGAGAGAGAGGTGGGGATTAGGGTCTCCCTTTTCCCATTCCATCTTCCCTGAAAGGATCTCTTAACCCTGTCATTGGAAAAAGAATGGCTTTTGGGATCATCATCATTTGCTAGGTAGTTGTGTAGTCTTGAGTGTTTTTTGACTTCTTGAAGCCTAAGGTTTTTCATCTGAAAAGTGAAGTAAGGTCAAAATGCTGAATTCACAGTGTTCGAGGGTGCCCAACCCCAAGTCTGAAGAATTAATTGCCTTCAGAAAATGATGTATTCTTTTACTTATCCCTCAGCGCATCTCTAGGCACCTCTCCCTCCTCCCTTTTCTTGGATTTTTCAGGATCCTCCCTGTCCTTGCCTCCTTTTTACCATTCCTGTGCCCCAGTCCCTGCGAGCCTCGGATTTCTCGGGGTATTTCCCGGCGACTGAAGATTTTCTACCCCGCCCTTTCACAGCAGCGCTGAAGCGCGCGCTTGCGCGGGGTCGGAAAAACGCGCGTGCCAGGAGAGAGAGGTTGGGGATCGGGGGGAGGTGAGAGGAGAGAGGGTGGAAAGGAGAGGAGAGCAGAAACCCAGGAACGAGAGAGAGAGAGAGAGAGAGAGAGAGAGAGAGAGAGAGAGAGAGAGAGAGAGAAGAGAGAGAAGAGAGAGAAAGGAGGAGAGGGGAAGGGGTGTAATAAGAGTCAGCGGTTTGCTGCGAATCCCAGGAGGAGAGAGCTTGGAGCTTGAGCCAGAACTGGAGCCCTAGCCGGGAGTCGGGTACCAGGAGGCGGCCGCCGGGGGCGGTCAGCCCTACAAGATGCGTCTCCAGCTCTTCTGCATTTTGCTAGCCACCGCGGTCTCTGGAACTCGGGGCTGGGGCTACTGTGAGTGTTGGGGTCGGAGGCAGGTGGGGTTGGGCCCAGGAATCCAGAGCCTGCAGGGCGGGTCCCACACCGCATTGCGGCTGGGTGGTCGTCGGTCTATCCCCGCCAGCGCGCGCCTGCTCGCTCTCATCTTTTCCTGCCTCTCCCCCGCGCTCCGCAATGCAGCTCCGAGGCTGCTGCGCGCTCCCGGGGCCGAGGCTGGGCTCAGAGCCGAAGATGGAGTCAGCCCATTTGGGGAATTCGGGGCTGGAATCCAAGCGGGAGCCGGTGCCTGGGTTTGAGGTTAGGGTTGGGCATAAATGTGGGACTAGTGACACAGGCTAGGGTTAAGGTTTTGCCAAAGACTGGGGCTGGACTTTGGAGCTGGCCCAGGGGCTAGAGTTTGTGGCTGAAGCTGGGTTTTGTGGCTGGGGCTGGGTATTTATGGCTGTGATCCAAACAGGAGTTGGTGCCCCTGATTGAGACTAAGACTGGACAAGGATCTAGTAATGATATTAGGACTGGGGTTGCTGAGTTGGGAGCAAGACCTGGATTTGGGGTTGGTACAGTTTTGGGGAGCTCATAAATGGAACTGATGCTGAGGACTGGGTTGGATGAGTGTCCTACTGATGTAGATTATGGAAGATACTGAGGTTTGAGATTGTGTTTGGGGGGAATACTAAGCCAGGACAAATACTGGGCTAGGGAGTTCTATCCCTCCATAAGTGTTTCCCTGGGAGAAGGCAGCCTCCCCTGAACAAGCAGCCCTAGCTGCAGCCCAGGTTGAATGGCTGTCTTTAAGGTAGGGCTGGGTCTGCCACTGGGGGGCATAGAAGAGGAAGCTTTGGGCACCCTGAGAAGGGCCATAAATAATTAACAAGTTAATTTCCCAATTCCAGATGGCTGCGATGAAGAGCTGGTGGGTCCCTTGTATGCACGCTCCCTGGGTGCCTCCTCCTACTATGGGCTCTTCACCACAGCCCGCTTTGCCAGGTTGCATGGTGAGCTTCTTACATGTCGGAGGGATGGGGACTCCAGAAGGCTCAGGGGAGAAGGGTAGTGGGTGGTAAAAGCACTTGCTTCTTCTGTAGGCATCAGTGGATGGTCACCCCGGATTGGGGATCCAAATCCCTGGCTCCAGATAGACTTAATGAAGAAGCACCGAATCAGAGCTGTGGCCACACAAGGCTCCTTTAATTCTTATGACTGGGTCACACGTTACATGCTACTCTATGGCGACCGTGTAGACAGCTGGACTCCGTTCTACCAGCAAGGACACAATGCAGTAAGCCAGATGTGCACATTTGGGGAGCCTCCTCTGTTCTGGGGCCTGGGTGGGGCACTAGCCTGAGGGGGAAGGGAGGCAGTGGTGAGGGCTCAGATAAGGACCCAAGATTCCACTCTGGGGATTAAGTCCAGAGGTACTGTCAACTCACCATGCATGAAAGACACTTGGCTCATGGAGCTTAGCATACATTAGAATAAATCTAAGAGAGCTTTCTGAAGGAGGTGGCATTTTGTTTGAGCTTTAAGGGAACAATAGGATGGTGGGGGAGGACACTTTGAGTTAGGGAAACTGCATAGCTACACAGGCAAGGAAGGAATATTTGCTTTCCAAAAGTCAAGATTGGCAAGGTGTGAAAGCCATCATAGGCTGGGAGGCTATGGAGAAACAAAGCAGCGGGTGGGGATGTGGTTACTACTCTTCCCAACCCCCGCAGACCTTCTTTGGTAATGTGAATGAGTCGGCAGTGGTGCGCCACGACCTGCACTACCACTTCACCGCGCGCTACATCCGCATCGTACCCCTGGCTTGGAACCCGCGAGGCAAGATCGGCCTGCGACTCGGTCTCTATGGCTGCCCCTACAGTAAGGGAACAACGCGGAGGTAGCGGAGGGTGCCGGGGAAGCAGAGTCTCCCTGGTCTCGGGCCCACCTATTGTACTTCATGCAGAGTCGGACATACTCTACTTCGACGGCGACGATGCCATCTCGTACCGCTTCCCGAGAGGAGTCAGCCGAAGTCTGTGGGACGTATTTGCTTTCAGTTTCAAGACGGAGGAGAAAGATGGGCTACTACTGCACGCTGAGGGCGCCCAGGGCGACTACGTGACGCTTGAGCTGCAGGGGGCGCACCTGCTACTGCACATGAGCCTGGGTGAGCGCGGTACTCGCGAAGCTCTCTGCCGACGCCCACGCCAGATCTGCCCTTCTTTACTATCTTGACCTAAAGGCCTTTTTCTTAACATTTGGTGCTAGCAAGATTCTGGAATCAAAGTCAGGAGAACTGGATTCTAGACTCAGCTTTACCTTTTACCAGCTGTGTGACCTTGGAGAAGTCACTTCCCCAAGCCTCAGTTTGCTTATTGTAAACACACACAAACGGGTTATTATTTTGTATTTCATGTAGTTTTCATAGCATAGCACACGTGTAATGAAATAGAAAAAGCTATCGTACCCTGAGTTTTCCAGACAGGAAAAGAGACCCATAGAGGTTACTTGGCTTACTTTCAGCTACACACTGGCCAATGGGCCGCTTTGTCCCAGGCTCCAGACTTTCCCTGGGCCTCAGATGCTGCTTGCCTGGGGACTTAGGGCTTGCTCAGGTTCTCTTTTTGCTCAGGTTCTCACTTTGTCCCGCCTCATCCTCAGGCAGCAGCCCCATCCAGCCAAGGCCCGGTCACACCACGGTGAGCGCTGGCGGTGTCCTGAACGACCAGCACTGGCACTATGTGCGAGTGGATCGATATGGGCGAGAAGCAAATCTCACCCTAGATGGCTATGTTCAGCGCTTCGTGCTCAATGGTGACTTTGAGAGGCTGAATCTGGACACAGAGGTGAGCGATGGAGGAGGCAACATTTGGTTGGGTAGGGTGCTGGGAGAGTGGGTAAGGGACAGTACTCTCTCAGAGGTAAGACTTTGTTTCTTGAAAGTGCTGGCAGCTCTTTGCAAATTTGCTGCCCACCAGAAAGGCCTTTTTTTTTTTTTTTTTTTTCCGATGTTGTTGCTATTAGCACACACTCCCACCCCATAACTACTGAGATGGGATCTAGAATTCAGATTTTACAGATCAGGCAAGGTAGGAAAATTGTCCCTTTGGATTCTCCCACAATTCTATGGAGTTAATAAGACCCTGACTCCAACATTCAGATAAAGAAGTTTAAACAGGTTAATAGACTTGCTCAAGGCTTGCAGCCACTTTATGGGGGATTCAGAGCTCAAACCTAAGGCTTGGAAGGCCAATGAATTTTGGTATGGACCCAGTGGATATGCGTGTTTCAAATCTTTATAATTATAAAATTTCTGGCACTGGGAAAACTTAAGACAAGGTGTGCGTAAGACAGGCACGAACACTCCTGTGTCCAGATAACCTTTTCTCCCACCCTTTCTGCAGATGTTCATTGGGGGTCTGGTGGGTGCTGCGCAGAAGAATCTAGCATATCGGCATAACTTCCGTGGCTGCATGGAAAACGTCATCTTCAACCGGGTCAACATCGCAGACTTGGCCGTGCGGCGTCATTCCCGGATCACTTTCGAGGCCAGTGGGCAAGGGGATATGGGAGGATGGGACACCAAAGATGCTCAGGAAAACAAAGTGGTGGCGCGGGAAGAGATCTTGGGAATCGGATAGAAGCCGAGGACTCCTCTCTCCTCGGCCAGATTCTCAAGTTGGGGGTATATTGCGGACTCACAGTGCCAACACCCCGCATCCCCTACTAGACAAGAAGTTGTAGTTGAGTCCAGTCACCTCTGTATTTAACAGCTGAGGAAAATGAGGCGCAGAGACAGGGAATGACTTTCCCAGGGGTCCTAATTTGCACAACTACTGAGTAAGGACTGGAATCGAAAGTCCTTTTTAAATCTTCTCCGCACTGGTGTTCAACTCTGCGCATACGCATGCTTGGCTGCTGGTAAGCCAAGGGTCTGGAGCCTGACTTGGGGCGAGAAATTGCTTCTCACACTGGAGGGAAGAGAAGGAAGCTGTCGCCTTCTAGAAAGAGTAGATCAGCGATGGAGAGCAAGCAGCAAGTGGAGAGTCCCGCGGGCAGACTTGTTTGGGACCCCCTCCACAGATGGATATATTTG